ACAATTTTTTTAATGGTATAAGGTTAGAAGCTGGGGTGTTATATTGCTTGCCTGGTCGTTAAAGTTGGCTGGTTCAATCCTGACAAAAGTAAGTAACATTTTGATGTAAAAATTTAAAATAAAAACTTCACCAATATTTTCAGAATTTTTAATTTCATGAGGCCTTTTGCCAGCTATGCTGGCATCATCAGACACATCTCAAAACTTTGCGATGATGCCAGCATAGCTGGCGAAAGGCCTCATGAAATTCAAAATTCTGAGAATATTGTTCAAGTTTTTATTTCAAATTTATATTCATTCCAATATTACCAGTTCTACTTGAAGATAAGAAACATTTTGATGGTTCGAAACTGGACTCAATTGTCCTTGATCATTGGGCTTTTTAAATGGTCCTGGCTGATGAAACAGCTGATCTTAGTCAGTAATAAAGCTACGCAAGGCTTATAACCCCACACTCATCCTTCACCCTTCACTCATAATAAAGTTAAAAAAGCTCCTCTAAGTGGCGACCTCATCTAAATTTATAACATAATGTAATACTGTAACATATTTGGATGTCTGTTAAAAATTTCTAAAAAGTCGTTAAAAATTACAACGGTACCGTAAGTAAATACAAAACAAAACGTGATACAACTTCATATTTGTGTTATTATAGTATTTTGTTCTAGTAGATTTCCCCGGAAAGTCTAACAATCGACGATGAATGATTCGGGACTACAAGTTCCAACTCATTAAATCCTGAAAGTAAGAGTGGAATTTTCACAGGTCCTCTTTGGAATGTAGCTCCAGGATCCAATCATATGAAGAGCTTCAGCCTTTTACGAGGTAAGATAGTCAAAAGCACGACAACACTAAATTAGCCCGTAAACGAGGCGATACAACGATTGGGTGGCGGCAATAAAGTAGTCGGGAGGACACTTCCCGCCAAAACATCAGCTGTTCCCACCAAAACCACATCGCTGACAGCTGACTCATCGCATCGCGTCTACCTTCATACTGTACTGCACAACTAGGGGGCGATTACTGTAGACAGTGTAGACAGTGTAGGAAAGCCAGCGTCGGATGCTAAAAAGCCACCGGATGCTTGATTTTGTGCATCTCAGCCAGGATGCTGAAAATAGAGCAGGCGGTCGCTTTTTGCCTCCCGTGATGCACAAAACCGGTTGTGGGACTTTGATTCAAATGTGGGGCATTATACCATAGATTAAAGGAGTATACAGTGTATACTCCTTTAATCTATGATTATACTAGGCAGCTAGTAAACAAAAAAAAGCTCCTTCGGAAGGCTTGGTTCAAGATGAACCGGGCCCTGAGCTCAATACTGAAAACCAAAGTAGACCTAAAACGAAACAAAAAGAACAATAGTTGAAGAAGAAAAAGAAAGAGGAAGAGTTGTAACATGTTCTAGCATCACAACACAAATCACGGCATTTTGGCTCGAATTTGTATGCTAGCTTGAAGTATTCATAGAAATACTTAAAAGTAATTAGTATTTATTTTATAAATGATTGACTGTTAGTTGTAAAGCTTTTATACAAGTAATGTAAGTAAGTTTATTTTGTATGACTAGAACATCTGTAAAATATAACATCAAAACATGGAACGGACTGACTGGTAAATAGCCCTACACGTTTTATAGTTTTACAACATCGTGTCATCTTATTTCTCCATTCCATACACAAATGTAAGGTTTCACAAAAATTATCTCTTGATTTGTATAAACCATGCATTATCTGCTGATTCTCCGTAGCAAACTTTCAACACATAATCAATTCACATCAATAACCAAATATGTAACAATCACGCAAATTTGATACGATAATTTCACTCCCCGTGATTTTCAAACCCCATAATTTAGTTTCCACCACTGCTACCTCTGAGTCACGGGTCCATCGTCCATTCCATAGCTCACAGTAGGCCTGGGGGTGCTCTCATGGCGCATGGGAAGGTTCGACCTAGATAATTACCTTGCCTCGAGCCGCACCGTTTAGGATCCTCGATTAATTTACATACAGATCACAATTCAGAGGCATTCTTTTCCCGGAATTCTAATTACTAAACACACGGTTGCCCGTCAAAGTTAAATTACACACCCGATAGTGCACTGGAGATAATTTAGACATAAGGTCTTTGCGTAATTGTCTGGAATGCGAGTGTGGGATTCTTGGGAAGCGTGTGAATTTTGATTGGGTGTTCAAGATATTGATCTAAATGTGTTGAGGGCTTATTTATAAGAAGGAAATAGATAAAAGCTTTTAGTCAAAACACCATTGTTGGTCAACAGTGGGCACCTTAGTAGTATTTTTTAATTGTGATTCTTAATGGCTCTAATTTGTTTAAACCAACAACAGCTAGAAATATCTTAAAATGAACGGTATCAACAATCTGACACATACTTTCTCCCATTAGCTTTTCAACAACCTTTATCATGGGTAAGCGACGAAAGTAACTATGATATTTAATAGGTAAAATCACAAAAGTTTCATTAACTTTTGAACCGTAATTTTAACAGGAATGAAGGGATGCACTATTTTGTTTAGAATTATAAGGACCATAACAGAAGAACTTCAATCAGAATCTTTTTTTTTCAAAAATACGATTTTCTCTTATTTTATGGTGATTTTGAATGGGAAAATAACATAATTTACACTAACTTTTGAACCGTAATTTTTACAGAAATGGGAGTTGTACAATTTTGTTCAGAATTTAAAGGGCTACAACATACTAAATTTAAGGAAACATATTTTTACAGAAAAATAGTTATTTGTGTAACTAGTGGTGAAAGTGGCACTTTGCTGCACACGAGAGCAATGTTTACGCACGAGCCGCGGAATGATCTCGAGTGCAGCAAAGGCCTTTTTCACTCGTGTTACACATTATATTTTTCCTACAGTCACTATAAAACATAAATAATTAGTCTTTCAAACACTATACAACACGTTTTTAGGTTCAGCTAGCAACACAATTACACAAATGGTGCCCTGGAGAAAGTAGTACCCGTGGTCCGTATCACTCCGCTATTTTTCCTCGGCAAGAAATGTGCTCCGTCTTTTGAGAATATAGTTCCGTATGTTTTTGTAATTTGAAGTGGTTTCCGCGCCTAAAAAAAATGCTTTAAAGGTATTTTCTTGTTTATTAAGAACGTAGGAATGTTTTAAAAACGTTTAAAAGAAAAGTCCAGAAAGTTCAGAAATACCAAAACTATAAACACGAAATGACAGGTTAAATCGTAGTTATAATAGTCAATCAGCTGTTCATAGTATTATTATCTTTAAGTGTTGCCAACCTATTTCCAAGCGTACACGGATTACGTGCATAATAAAACCACGCTGTTTTGTGTTGTTTGGTTGGAATCCTGATGTGCGGCAAAGTATAAACCGTGCGGCAAAGTATAAACCGTGCGGCAAAGTATAAACCGTACGGCAAAGTATAAATATGCAGCAATTAGCAGCTTTCTGTACTATAAACAGTACAGGGAAGCCAACTTTGTCGGGTGACTGTAGGAAAAAAATATTATTTGGTACAATATCTGAAGGCAGCAAACTTAAATTCCTTGCATTATTTAAACACAAAACTACATATAGGAGCATATTAGGATAATGTAGGCGATGACTTGATTTTCCATTGAACTTCTTGGTACCACAGATGTGATACATTCATAAGGCAACCGTCTTCCTTATCAAAATGAATTAGTTGTAACATGGAGAAGTAAGATCTTAACCAAACGTTAGTAAAATATTTTAAGTATTCAAAGTTAAGAAAACATGTGTTATTAGTCTGTCTTTAAACCTTGATCAAATATTCGCAAAGAGCCACCGTATCTGAAGCTTCTAGCTTCATCTGAAGTACTGTAAACAATTTGCCCTGAAAACAGAGCTGCGACGCAATTGCAACGTGGACAGTATTTTCACAATCTAGTGTTGTGCAAATCTGACGAGTCTAAAAAATCAGCCTATATAAAACTATATATTTTGGCGATGGAGACAAAAAAATTGAACCCCTAACAAATGATTAATTTAAGCTGTACATCATGTAAAATTTCTTGCCTAATGTTTATCACCCGCAAATACTAGAGAACACCCACCGCGCGAATCACACAGCGCCGTCACATAGTTCCCGCCGAAATCACGAATTAGGACAGTAATGCACTGGCTGCAAAGCCGACCTTGCCCAGAGGTCAGATGAATCATATGATTGTTGTGCGACTAATGTTGTACTGTATATCTACAACAATAGCTGGGCAATGTCTAAACTGCGAAAAACTTTGCATCTGAAATTGGGCAGCGAAGTTGTTTGAACTTATTTCAGTTATATATATTTTAGAACGCCACTGCATGAAACTAAGCATGATTAAATAATACTATTTTTGGGCTTCCTTGCACTGATTATAGCACGCCAAGTAGCTAATTGTTGCAATTACTAGCTTTTGCCGCACTCATTGTTTTTACCACGCTAATTTTTCTTGCCGCACTCCAGTATTCCAACCAAACAACACAAAATAGTGTGCTCTTTTTGGGTACTGTACTTAATACATGTAGCTTGAAACAAGTTGGCAACACTTAAGGATACACTACAACTACGATCAGCTGGTGTAGCGTTACCCATTTAGTTCAACCTTGGATTTAACCTAACCTAAAAAAATCTTGTAGAGTGTTTGAAAATAGGAATATTTTCACCCAAACATGAATAGTGGATGACTGTTTTACTTTACTGGATATAATCACCTGTTTCTATAGTCAGGACTATTTTATTAAAACACCAATGTTAAGTTCAACTAGGTCAAGTTTTGAACCATGAAAAAGCTAATATTACTTTTTAGAACTGAAGACCTTCTGACAGTTGATAAATAAATTTTACACCAACATTTTTATTTTAATATAATTCTGCAAAACTGTTGAACTATCATTTTGTTGGATGGCAAAGGCAGTGTTTCATTACATAAAGGCTTTATGTAACAAGGCCTGGTGTATAATTGCCGTCATATTAACACCATTAAATTACATAGCCTACCATGGCATTTTATTCACAGAGGTCTACATCTTAACTCAATTCAAAATTATATATCAAGCAATCTTTAGAAGAGAACCATCTAGTTACTGAACATTTTGTACTTTAAACATCAAAGTTGCAAACTATTTGAGAAGTATTCATGCACCTGAGCAAATCAAGTTGTTAATCTGTCAAGAAAATTGAGATTAACTGATCTAATTTGACAGTGGTATCGCTTGCTAAATATTCAGTAATTTCTGTGCCCAACTCGTGAAAATGCGGCTGGTGAGTCTTACATTAAAAAACTTTTTAGGTTTGCTCTAAATTAAAATAACAGTTTTACTTATATTTGTAGCAATCTAAATAATGCTCACTAAAAATTATATTTTATGACTGCTGTAGTTCCATGAAATAATTATAAGTATGGGGACCAGTGGATCAGTAGGGTTTTTTACCATATATTTATTTTAGTTTAACTATATCTGCATTTATTATAGTCAAACTTGTGCCCATTTTATCAGTTGACACATCAGTACAGAATATTATTGCAATTTTAAAACAATTTTCCACCTTTATCATTATTTTTGGATTTGTTAATATTTTCTGTCAATCAATCAACCTCAGCAACTATATTTAATTGCGTAGTATTTTTAACCAGACAAAAGGGATGATTTTGAAGCAGGATTTGACAAATATGTTCTATCAAGTTACTGTCTGACAACGTGGCACCAAAGAAAGAAGTGATAGCACCAAGCCATTTTGTTCATGTATTTTGAAGTTTACCACAAAAGGAAAATATTAAACAAATATTTTAAATCTTTCTTTGAATAAACCATTTATACAGTTTTCCACAACATATTTAAAACATCTTTTCGTCACTTTGTAAAAGAATCCATCTTCGAACTGCTGAGGTTTACATAAATAAGTGATTTCCAATCTATAAAACTTGTTTTTGTTTGTCTAAAACATTACTTTTCCTACAGTCACCTGACAAAGTGGGCTTCCTTGCACTGATTATAGAACAGAAAGTTGCTAATTGCTGCATTTAGTTACTTTTGCAACATTCTTTTTACTTTTGCCGCACTCTAGTATTTTAACCAAACACAAAACAGCGTGCTTATATTAGGTATGTAATACGTGTCCGCTTGAAAATAAGTAAATGACACTTAAAAATACAACTACGATCAGTTGGTGCAGCGTTTCCCATTTCGTCCAACGCTTGGATTTAAGCTAACCTAAAAACGTGTTGTATAGTATTTGAAAGACTAATTATTTGTATGCTTTATAGTTACTGTAGGAAAAATATAACGTGTAACGCGAGTGCAAATTTACACAAATAACAATTCCTATCCCAAACAATCTTTTTCCGTCCTAAACCATAGCCGTCTCTAGTAATACCTAAACACATGCAGTTCCCTCTTAGTTCAACAGAACACTAATGTATGTATTTTTTATCACGATAAAAATTGTCAAAACATATGCATATAATGAAATAACTTACTTAAACCACCTAAATTTTGTGAAAAGAGTATAAACCATGCAATTATATTTTATTATTTAAAAACAAAAATCTTTGTGTGATTATTTGCATTGTGATTAAAAGTCCTTTACTACTTGTCATAAAAGTTCCATTCTGGGGCTCGATAGTTTTCGTCTCGTTCGTAAACCACTGTCTAGCCTCGAAATGGGTAACATTTGGGACTAATAGTGAAATATATTTCACTACTGTTCCATGCTATTCAATACCGAACGAAAAGAAAACTTTAAGACCTACTGCTTTACTTTTTTGTTTTGATGTCCCCAGAGGCCAAGGACATGATTATTTTGATACAAACATGTAAACCTACAATTATCATAACAAGTTTGTAAACCAGCATGATCTGACTCTGGGCACGTTGGGTTAGTAAGGGGTGTGGAGGGTATGAGGTTTGGTTTATGCGTTTTTAATTTGTTATGTTACCTACAATGTGAGGAGGTTATGTTTGATTCGAGATACAGTACATTGTTGTTTGTTAATTGTCAATGCAGGCTATGCATAAAGTATCCACAAAGGATCTAAATTATAAAGAATAGACTAAAAAGGTAATTTAAACACAAGGTAAATAATTGTAATCCTTTGTTTACAATTATTTACAGGAATTTAGCTTTTTTTTCGTTTATCTTATATGTCAAATCGTGGAAAGGTTTTTATTTGAAGATTCTGAATCAAGCAATTCAAATTTTCATCTGCCCTATTATTGTATTTATAACTACTATAGTGTCCCTGTTGCTCGAACTCGAGCATTTGATAAGTATTACAGGTGTTATTTTAAAACGAATTAACAGTCATAGTTTCTGATGACTTTAAAAGATTCGACTCAAAGGTTATGGAAATACTCAAGATGTAAATAACAGATTATATCAATTCATCCAGCCTCTCTAGCTTTTTTCCATTGTAATATTTACACCAACCCAAATTCAAATAGTAAATATTTCATTTCAACCAAGTCAGTAAATGTTTGTAGCAAACTGTTAAATTAGCAAACTTATTGACTGTTTACAATTAACATATGTTCTTCTTCTCACTTTTAATTTCTGACAACAGCTGGAGTTTCATAACAATATTTGTTTCCCATGTTAATCTTGTGGAGAAATACAAAACTTTAAAGGGCCCCAGGGCCTCACTCTCTAATTATTTCCATAAAAAGAAAGTTTCCTGCACAACTTCACGATACGCTCTTTCCAATGACACCAAAAACATGTCAATCGGTTCAGTAGTTTCGGAGGAGTAATTGTCACAAAAAACCTGCTTGCGTATTAAATAAGTACTAGTTGCTCTGCCCGTGCTTCGCTACGGGGTGAGAATGCAGAAAAGAATAATTTGGTTTTACATTAAGATACAATAATATACTATAAGAAACAGTTACAACACACTTAACAGGAAACATGTAGGCAAAGGCTCTCGTGCTTAATGATTATTTAAATGAAGATCTCTTAATGTATTACAGTACTATCATTTTATATAATGTATAGTATTTAAAATGTATGCAAAAGTATAATTCATTGACCACATGGCACTAAGAAACAATTCTCCTTGTAAACAAATTAAATTAAATAGCAGAACAGCATTTCTGACAACAGCTGGAGTTTCATAACAATGTTTGTTTCCCATGTTAATCTTATGGAGAAATACGAAATTTTAAGGGGTCCCAGGGCCTCACTCTCTAATTATTTCCCTAAAAAGAAAGTTTCCTGCACAACTTCACGTTACGCTCTTTCCAATGACACCAAAAACATGTCAATCGGTTTAGTAGTTTAGGAGGAGTAATTGTCACAAAAAACCTGCTTGCGTATTAAATAAGTATAGACTAGTGTCCCTGTTGCTTGAATCCGAGCAATTGCTAAGTATTACCATTGACTATAATATACAGTGTGTAAATTAAGTATGGAAACAAATCTGTATTTTTAAAACCGAAATAGATAGAAATATTCTATTTGTGGCAATAATAGTTAACAAAGATTCCGCAATTTTTCACATGAAAAATATTTTTTTACCCCCCTAACAGGGTAGGTGGTAGGGGGTGACTTATTTTTTTCAAATAGCAACCCCTATTGAGTGACCCCTCATTTTGAAGGGTTTGTCAAAAGAAACACAATGACGCAAATCCGAGGTGAATATCTCACTCCTAGCTAACATGGCGGATATTCCAGAATGGGCTTTTTTTTACAAAAATTAAATTTTTCATTACCCACCATTTAGGCTAGGGGCGAAATATCTACCTCGGGTTTGCGTCATTCTTTTTCTTTTAACGAACCCTTCAAAATGAGGGGTCACTCAATAGGGGTTGTTGTTGAAAAAAATAAGTCACTCCCACCCCCTACCCTGTTAAAGGGGTTGAAAAAATATTGTTAATTAAAAAAATTGCAGAACCTATGTCAACAATCAATTCCACAAACAGAATATTTCTATCTATTTCGGTTTTAAAAATACAGATTTCTTTCCATTATTTGTGAAATTGGTGCTTTTCACGTACAATAAATCAAATTTTGGAATATTCGCCATTTGGGCTAGGAGTGAGATATTTACCTCGGATTTGCGTCATTGTGTTTCTTTTGACAAACCCTTCAAAATGAGGGGTCACTCAATAGGGGTTGCTATTTGAAAAAAATAAGTCACCCCCTACCACCTACCCTGTTAGGGGGGTAAAAAAATATTTTTCATGTGAAAAATTGCGGAATCTTTGTTAACTATTATTGCCACAAATAGAATATTTCTATCTATTTCGGTTTTAAAAATACAGATTTGTTTCCATACTTAATTTACACACTGTATAGTCAATGGTATTACAGGCATTATTTTAAAACGAATTTCAACCAAGTCAACAAATGATTGTAGCAAACTGTTAAATTAGCAAACTTATTGACTGTTTAACATGCTCATCTTCTCACTTTTGATTTCTGACAACAGCTGGAGTTTCATAAAAATTTTTGTTACCAATGTTAATCTTATGGAGAAACACGAAACTTTAAAGGGCTCCAGGGCCTCACTCTCTCATTATTTCCCTAAAAAGAAAGTTTCCTGCACAACTTCAAGTTGCGCTCTTTCCAATGACACCAAACACATGTAGATCGGTTCAGTAGTTTCGGAGGAGTAATTGTCACAAAAACCTGCTTGCATATTAAATAAGTATAGATAGATTTTGATGATTCTTCTGTTGAAAGCAAGGTAATTGAGATAGAAATGTCAAAGCCATACATTTAATTTTGGGTTTCTGTTTTTTAAATTTAATTTTCATTTAAAAAGAATCTACAACCTGGAAGTAACATTTTAAGCTTGTTTAAGTGTAATATTATTTAGTTTATCTAACTGATAATTTTCTTTCTGCATAAATTCACTGAAATCTTTACATTTAAAGGTGTTAACAAAATACGGTTATACTAAATGTAGTTTATTCCTACTGTAAAGGATCATTGCATTTCCACGACATGCCCAATGCTATATTACCCAAAATGTTTCATGTTATCACATTTTATTTGAAAATTGAATCTGTGTGAAAAGTTTTAACTGATGTTATAAACATTTTTGTCGGCAAATCATCGCTTAGCTGTTTACTTTAAAAGTAATTTACATTTTGATGATAGTTTGTTTTAATTGTTGTCTGTCAGTAAACTATAATGTTGATTGAAATCGAAAATTAAAGTCGGTAAAATCGATAAAACTTTTGAAGTCCAAAATCAGCTTTCAGATAAACCAAAATCAATTTATAACATACCATTAACTATGGTATGGTTTATGAGGTAACATA